GGGGGGGAGCGGGGCAGGCGCCCTCACATGGACAGTGTTGGGCGAGCACCCCATCGCCCGTGGCCCACTCTTAGTTGTGATGATGCTGAGCTTGTGCCACAGCCCATATTCCCTGTTTGTTGGGTGGCTTCCCCGTGGGCCTGGGGGTAGAGAGTGCTGGCATTGTCCTCGGCAGGGGGACAGGCTCTGCAGTGGGTGGTGACCTGCCACCCATGCACGTCACCCTCCTGCCTGTCTCGCTGCTGCTCCCCACTCGGGCACCGTCGCTCCTGCTCTTCTCTCTAGAATCCCCGACAGCAGGCTGCATCAGCTCTCCCGCCGGGCTCCCAGCCCTCCGTCCTCCTCTGATCTGGTCACCTGGTGACCAGAGCCGCCATTCAAATTCTGTGGCACTGAGGGCGAAGTCCCTCTCCTTCCTGACGTTCTCCCCAGTCTGGCTGCTGCAGTGGGGAGGGACCGGGAGAGGTGCCCCTGGGGGGGCTCCCCATAACCCCCCGAGCCGCCTGCCTTCACCTTGGGTATGTCGGGTGGGGGTGGTAAGGGAACAGGTGTCTTGCTTTCTCTGTGCTCGCTCTTCTGCTGAGTTTTCTCTCGAAGTTCAGGCGTGCCGCCCTGGCTTGAGCGCCCACCCTCTGGGCCTGCAGGCTCATCTGTCTCTGCACAGCATCCGGACTGCATCAGCGGAGGCCAGCGGGGCGGGGGGGGGCCACAGTCCCCACAGGGTACACTGACTAACGTGGCCATTTCCTCTTTCTCGTCGCCCCCCAGATCTAGCCCAGCTGCGCAAGAAGTTTGAGGAAGACAAGCAGCGGATTGAACTGATGCGGGCACAGCGCAAGTTCCGACCCTACTGAGCCGAGCTGGTCCTGGAGCCCCATGGAAAAGGGCAGTGAACGGTGGTGGTGCACCTGTGCCAGGGAGGACCCGAACACCTGGAAAACTCGTCCCAGACTGCCCAGGCCCAGGGGCTGCCAGATCCGAGCCCACACGGGTGGAGGTGGAAGGACAGGGCCCTCCCGTGGTTCTGGTGCGCACGTTGGGCATCGTGCTGGCGAGGCCTGCCGAGCGTGAGGGCGTGGGCCGCCGGGAGCCACCAGCCCAGGCCACGGTTGTTTCCTTCTCCTGGTCTCTCTGTTCCCAGCCTGCCCCTGGCCTTCCCTTTCCAGCTGGGTGTCTCTCCCTTCCCCTCAGTGGAAGAGCCCCTCAGAAGCAGTGAGAATACAAGAACCGTTTTATTTTTCATCCAGCTGGGCAGTCACCTGGCCACTCCTCCCTCCGTCCGCTACCCGCTCTCTGCAGATTATCAGCCATGAAACAGACAATGCCCCCAAATCCAAACAGGGTCTCCCCCTTGAAGTCAAAAATGTTAGAAGAATCTTGCCCTGCATCCCCTCCCTCAAATCCTGCCCAGGGTTCTCTGCCTCAGCCCTTGCTGGGCTTCAGACCAGTGAGGCCTGTCCCCACCACACCCAGCCTGGCTGGGGGGCCTGGCACTAGGAATCTGGGCGCTGAGTGGTGGGCACCAGGTCTCCGAAGGCCCAGGCTACGGCTCGTGTGGTGCTGTCTCCTTGCTCAGCAGAAAGGTGCTGATGATACCGGCCACGTTCTGGGGTTGGTTCAGGTGGACATAATGGTTGTCCGGGACTTGTATGTACTGGAACCGCTGGAGAGGGGAGGGCATGCTTGGTGAGGCGTAGCCCTTCTGGTGTGCTGGGGCCTTCCCAGGGCTTGCTGCCTCCCAGTGGTTCCAAAGGGTGCCCCACAGTGAACCACTGGGCAGAGACTGACCCACAGCTCCCCGGTCACACACTAAGTCAGAGCCTGGCTCAGAGTCCGCGAGAAGGGCCTGATTCAGGGGGAGAAATGTCCAAACCCTGGACTTCTGGGCCATTCTGAGTTGTGAGGTTGTAGAGCTAGGCATGAGAGGTGCCAGTAGTCAAGGGTGCTGCTGATTCTGATAATTCTGTAAGGTCAGCTTGAAAGAATGAGCAGCCTTTCAAACTTGATCTTCCCTGGGAGACAGGAAAGCACTGCAGGCTGGTCACATACAGGCTTGCCTTTGGTGATGCTGAGGTCTGCAGAGGCCCAGGGTCAGGTGTTTATAGCAGATGAAGGTCAAAGTGCCGGGTGCTCCCAGGGACAAAGCCCAGGCCCCACTGATGAGACTGGTCATCTGCTCACTCTAGAAATGATGGGATGGCCTCTGGCCAAGCTGGACCTGGGCTGTGGGATTTATGTGGACAATAACAGTGGGGCACTCTGCCAATAAAATGTGTTTCCTGTGCTGAGTTAAATGTGAGCTCCAGGGGCTGACCCCCATGGGGAGTGAGGCCTGTAGCTCCTGCCAGTCCCCCATCAGACCTGGGGCTGGACCAGAGGTCCTAGTGCAAGGAGTGGGTGAGGACCCTCCTGGACCTCCCCCTGGCTGAGCCTCGTGTACCTACCTCCTTTAGGACTGATTTCAGCGTGTCTATCGCAAAAAGCATGACATTCCTGTCACTGTCATTCTCTCTTCTCACGTTATAATATCCTTGGATTGCTCTGGAAAATAAAAGAAAAATCAGGGTTCACCTTGCGGTGCCTCCCCCTGCCCCGGTTTCCAGGCTGAGAGGAGCCAGGCCTGGGCTTGCCTCCGATTTTCCCACAGTTCAGGGTTCGCTGTGGCCAAGGTGCTGCAGGTTCACCTCGGCAGGGTCGTGTGCGACCTGCCCGCCGCCACCACCTCTCATGGCACAGCCAGGAAGGGACAGGCTCGAGTCCATGCTTTCTCCACATCTTTCCTGAGATAATTTCACCCATTTCACGTGCATACTTAGAGTTCTGTACATGTGACTACAGTCAATTTGAGGATGTTATCGTCTCAAAAAACCCCAAACCCGAACCTGTAGTTCTGCAGCTCTCCGGCTTACGCAAACGCCGGTTAACTCTCTAGAGACTCTGCTCTCTGCACTTGCGTGTGAGTTGAACCACAGAACCTGTGGACTCCTGTGACTGGCTTCTTTCACTCCGTCACGTTCTCAAGGTTCATCCATGTAGCGTGTACCAGTTCGTTCCTCTTCTGGCTGAAACAGCCCACCGTAGGGACGCACTGCGTTCCGCCTGTGTGTCTGCGGACAGACGTCCGGGCGGTCACCACCTCTGGGCTCTTGTGACTAACTCTGCTCTGGAGCGGCCCGTCCAGGCTGCTGTGGACCTAGGTGGGGCCTCTAGATACCTGGGAGTGCCACTGCTGGGGCCTGTGGTGGGTTAAGGGCTTCAGAAACTGCCCGAGTTGCTGCGCCATTGTACAGTCGCACGGTGGGAGCGTTCTGGTTCCTCCACATCCTCGCCAACGCCTGTTACCTGCCATTTCGAGTCTAGCCATGGGGGGCGGGGGGGGTGTGTAGCATCTCTGTGGTTTGGATTTGCACCTCGAGTCCGTGCTTCCTAAGCCTCTGTGCTCAGCGTCAAAGACACAACGTGTCCCCAGAAGTCATGGTTCTGGCCCGGGGCAGGCCACGGCGGCGCGGAGAGTGGCAGCTGAGCCCCACGACGGGAGGTGGCGGTGGGACGGCTGCTGGTGGGGCGCTGGCAGGTGGGGGAGGGAGCAGCGAAGCTTGGGGCGGGGGTAGGGGTCTGGAGTGGCTGGAGGACTTGGCAGGGCAAGCGCTCGACCGCAAGGTCGGCCAGTCCCTGCCTCGCCCGGGGGTGCCCTCCGCAGACCCCCGTTGAGAGGGGCGGCCCCCTCTGCTCCGGGCCCTGCCTTCCTCGCACAAGGGAGACCTGGGGGTCCCTGCCAGTCGAGTCTCTTCTGGGGCGCAAGGCCCACACTTACTTGAGGAGCAGGACGTGGGCCTGCAGCTTCTTGGTGGAGTGCACGAACAGCTCCCTGCTGATGAAATCCATGCTGTACTCCGGCTGCAGAGACAAGACCACAGTGCATTCTGTCCACAGGGCAGCAGGCCTCTCTCTCGGGACCACCGTGGCCATCTACCCCGGGACCAAGTCCAGGACCCAACCACATCACCTCCACAGAGGCCTCCAACCCCCGCGGGCCAGAGACTTTTTTTCCCCCTAAATCTGTTCTCCCTCTTTCTGGGCTCATGGCTGCCCAGCCAGACATTTCCCAGATCCCCTTACATCCTGGTGTGGTTGTGCGGCTAAATGCAGGGAAGTGACCTGGGCGGCTTCTGGACCTAGATTCTAGGACTAGGCGTGGCCCCTCATCCCAAACTCCCTTCCCCCATCCGCAGGGCGCCCTGCAGCGCTGCCCAGCCAGCCTGGGTTCCGGACTCTGCCAAACAGACCATTTCCGTGAGAAAGTAACCTGCTTAAGCCACTGTGCAGAATGAGGACGCCTTGATGTCCCCACAGCCCCACTGGTCTCCATCAGAGCCCAGGCCACCCTGTCTTATGACCATGTAAGGGGTCCAAGTCCGCGCCGTCCCACACGGTAGCCATCAGCCCATGTGGCTACTGAGTGCTTGAAACGGGGCCAGTCCGAGATGCGCTGTAGGTATAAACTGCACAGTGGATTTCAAAGACTTAGTATAAATAATACCAGATACCTCACATTTTTATACTGGTTACATCTTGGATACATTGAGAGAAAAATATTAAATGTGATTTCCTCCATTTCTTTTTACTCTCCTAACATGGCTACTACAAGATGTGGAATTGCATGAGGCTCGCTTTCTACCGGACGGTGCTGCTCGAGCCCCAGAACTCCAGGTGTGACAGAGGAGGAGCTCGATAAATGTGTGCAGAGTGGATTAATTCCACAAAGCTCCCATGAGGACTGTTAAGTCATGCCCAACACTCCTCCACCATTGCGATAAATATACAGTTCTTACGAAAACACGTGTACACACACACACACACACACATATACACATTCGGTCACAGGGTCACAGCCACGAGAGCATCTTGCCCTTGGTCTGCCCTGACCTCCTCCGGGCCATCTCCTGCTCCTTAAGCGAAAATGACCTTGGGTGCTTTTCCAGAAACAGACGTTTCCAGATCATCCACAAGGTCCAACGAACGAAGATCTACTGAGGACCCACACAGGCTGCACGTTAGCTCCTGCTGGCAGCGCGCCCGGCTTCAGGAAAAGCAGGGAGGTAGTTCGTGCCCGCGGAGGGGCTCCCCGACCAGTGTTAATCGGCACATTGCAACAGGGCTTTACTGAGGATCACAGAGGCTCAAGTCACACAACAGTGAACAGGAGATGGCACCAGGACTCGGCTCAGGCGTCTGCCCCCACCCCCCAGCCTGAGCTGCTCGGGCCAGGACTGGGGCTCTCCGGCTTGGGGGCCCGGTCAGGCCCTCACCTCAATTATATGTTGGTCCCCAAGGCAGAGACTGAAGGATGTTACCTCCGCTCATGTCTCTGGATGTGAAAACCTAAGTCTGGGGTTTTGCAGCTGTTTCCTCTAAGGCCACACAATTCGAGGACATTTCTCCAAGACTGCCTTTAAGAGCAAAGGCTGCTGGGTGTGTCCTGTCTCCTTCTTCTTCTTCTTTTTTTAAGATTGTATTTATTTATTTGTCAGAGAAAGAGAGAGAGAGAGTGGCAGGCAGAGGGAGAAGCAGACTCCCTGCTGAGCCAGGAGCCCGATGCAGGACTCGATCCCAGGACCCCGGGCTCATGACCCGAGCTGAAGGCAGACGCTTAACGACTGAGCCACCCAGGCACCCCTCTTCTTTTTTCTTTGCTTCTGTCCCCCTCTCCTCTAACCTTCTTTCCCTAGTCCACTTTCATTCCCTGATCTATATTTTTCTTTTGTATTCCAGTGTGACTTACGGCAAAGTCCCCAGATCTATGTGTCAGCTGACAATGGCCTTTCACATATAAATGCTCCGTGCAACCCAGCTCGAAGCCTCGACCACCACCAGCACCTGCAGGCTCCCTCCTGGGGCATTCTCCGAGGACACCACTATTCAGACCGCTAGCCCCGTGGATCAATTTGCCTCTTTTTGAACTTCAGGTAAATGGAATCATACAGAGTGCTCTCTGTTTCTGGTTTCTTTTGGTCTGTAAGTCGTGTTTGTTTTTTCATTCCTGTGTGGTGCTCCAGTGTATGAATGTGTGCATTCTATTGTTGAAAAACATGTGGGTGAGTTCCAGTTTGGGACTATTATGAACCAAGCTGCTAGGAACGTCCTTGCACACGTCTTCTGTGCACACGGCACACATTTTTGCTAGGTATACACCTAGGAGTGGAATTACGGGCTCACAGGATTTGACTATGTTTTGCTTTAGCAGTTCCTGCCAAGCAATTTCCCAAAATGGTTGTATCAGTTTATACTTCCTCCTGCAGTGTAGAAGAGTTCTGGTCTTTGTCCCCATTAAGACGTGGTGTTGTCAGGCCTTTCCATTTTGACAGCAATTTCTCCACCTCTGGTGGAGGTGTAGAGGTATATCTCATTGATTGCCCTAATTACTAATGATCATGAGCACCTTTCATGTGTTGATTGGTCACTTGGATAGCCTCTTTCATGAAGGGCCTGTTAAAATCTTTTGCCTGCTTTTAAAAATGAGGTTGTTAGACTTTATCTTATTGATTTGTAGGAGCTCTTTATATATCCTGGATATGAGTCCTTTAGCAGGCCTATGCATTTAAATATGTTCTTTCAGTCAGTGGCTTGACTCTTCACTCTCTTAATTTGTCTTTTGATGAACAGAAATTCTAAATTTTAAATAAAGCCCTATTTATCAACATTTTCATTGATTCACATGTGTGTTCTATTTAAAATATATGGTCTACTTCAAGGTCATAAGGCTATTTAGAACCTTTCCTGTTTTACCTTTCATATTTTGATCTATGACCCATCTTGAATTAATTTTTGTGTATCGTGTGAGGCAAGGGTCTAGGATCATACTTTTCCATATGGATAACCCATTGCCTGGCACGCCTCTATCAGGTGGTACCCATTCATAATGTTAACAGTCACTAAACTCCCAAAGTATTCTATAAATTCAATGTCATCTCAATGTAATTCTTTTTTTAAGTAAGCTCTATGCCCCATGTGGGGTTTGAACTCAACGACCCCAAGATCAGGAGTTCCATGCTCTACCAACTAAGCCAGCCAGGCACCCCATCCCATTGTAATTTTTAACATAAGTTGATCATTCCAAACTTCATTTGGAAGTGAAAATATGCAAGAAACGCCAAGGAACACGTGTAAAAGAAGAACGAGGAGAGAATGCAGATTCTACTAACCATCAGAACTTCTCAGAAGGAAGTAGGGATTGAAACAGAGTGGTAGGGCCCGGATGGTGACAAGATCACTGCAACAAAAGGAGAGTGCAGAGACAGACCCATTTTAGAATTTGTATCTTTTGTAATTCAGTTTATGTCCCGAACATAAGCTCCAAATCTGGGCAGCGTGCTGCAGAACAGCTGTGTGCTGCACAGGGCATGGACCTCGGAAAGGGAAGGGGTGTTCCCAAATGCCCCCAAAAGTAACCAACCCTACCTGCACTCGGGGGCAGTGGAGGGTTGGGGCCCTGCACTGCTGCCTGGAGGGTGACCTGGCTCAGGCCAGGGGTCCAGCCGGGATCACTCTCTCTGGAGGGAAGCTTTCCAACAAGGGCCTCCACTGGTTAGGATCTGGCTGGTAAGCTACCAGCATGAGGACCAGCACACAGAAGACAGACCACAGTGAGTGAGCCTTGGTGGTTAGGAGGATTCCCCTCCCCCCAATAACTGGCAGTGGACCAAACTGGCTATTCATCTGGGAAGAAAGTAAAAACGGATCCCTACCTCACACCGTACTTGAGAACAGATCCCAGCTGGATCAAAATCAAAACTCAAACATTCCCGTCCCTTTGGCTGATGCCCTGGTCCAGGCCTCATGTCCCCACCTGGGCCTGGGCAACAGCTCTCAAGGGTCTCCCTGAGGCCAGAGCTTCCCACCTCTAATGACAGCATCTCACATGTGCAAAGCATTTTACCCTCTTGAACAATCTCATTAAGAGCACCATCTGAGAGCCCCTAATGTGATAGCACTGTGCTAGGGCACATGACAGAGGGACCTTGCCAGTCGTCATGGCAACCCCACAAAGATGGGCATAGGGGCTGGTACCTCCTAGCTGTTCACTAACCAACTCCTCTGACCACACCCGCCCCCAGCCGCCAGCAGGCCTTTCCTGCACTCCCATGCGGCACCCCCACGCAGTTAATCCATTAAGTTAAGCATTTGCAGCCATTTCTGTGAAAACCTAAACAAACGACAAAACCCAAGAGCCCTAAAATGAGTCGGTGTCTTCTTACAGAGTTGTGAAAACACACAGATGGGGCTGCAAGTCTGCCCTCGACAGTGGGCCCTGGTGTTCCCCTTTTGCTCTGTGGGCACCTGTGTGTCAGTAATGGTTTGTTTTTTCAGTTGTTCGTGGGTGGGAAGCCCCCACCGATGGTGCTGCTTGACTGTGGGCAAGTCGTTCGGCTGACTTAGTTTCCCCGCCTGTGAAATGTGGGTGACAACAGTTCCCTCCTCCAGGCCTGCAGTGAGGATTACCCACGTGTGCGGCACGTGGAAGAACGAGGAGCGGCCGCTGCGCTGTGAGCACCCCCTGCTGGCGTTCCGCCCCAGGTGCAGGCCAGACCCCAGCACAGCCCCCACTCCTGCCAGGCCTGCTGGGGAGACATCTGGACCTCAGGAATCTGCACGGCGGGGGGTCCTCTCTCTTGCCCTCAGCCCTTGCCCTAAGGAGACCCGTGATTCAAAAGAGGCTGTACATGGGGGGTGGGGGGATGGGTTAGCCTGGTGATGGGTGTTGAGGGGGGCACGTTCTGCGTGGAGCACTGGGTGTTATGCACAAACAATGAATCATGGAACACTGCATCAAAAACTAATGATGTAATGTATGGTGAGTAACATAACAATAAAAAATTATTTAAAATAGAAAAAAAAAACAAAAAAAAAGCAAAAGAGGCTGTACACCACCCCACGCCCACAAGGATGGCTAAAATTTAATAGAAAAGCACAAGTGTGGGTGAAGAGATGCAGAAATTGGAACCCTCGTGCGTTGCTGGGAGTGACGATGCTGCCGCCGTGCCAACAGCCTGGCAGTTTCTTAAAAGGTTCAATACAGGACTGCTGTGCAATCCAGCAATTCTGCTCCTAGATGTATATCCAGAAAAACCGAGAGCAAGGACTTGAACTGATATTCATCACCCACGTTCACAGCAGCAGGATTCATAATAACCAAAAGGCGGAAACAACCCAAGTGTCTCTCAATGGATGAATGGACAGATCCACACAAACGGAATGTTATTCAGTCAGAGAAGGAGGGGAAGTTCGGGCACCCTGCTGGGACCTGGATGAGCCTTGAAAACCTTCTCAAAGTGAAATAAGCCAGACGCATGAGGCCACATATGGTCTGATTCCACTGACATGAGGTCCCCAGAGCAGGCAGATTCATAGACAGAAGATAGAATGGCGGCCACCAGGGGCTGCGGGAGGATGGGGACCTAGTGTTCAGTGGGTACAGGGTTGTTATGGGGGATGATGAAAAATGTGGATGAAATGATGGTTGTACAACATTGCAAATGGATTGAGTGTCACTGAATTGGACACTCAGGAATGATTTTAAAATGGTAACTATTATGCTATGTATAATGTACCATAATAACAAAAGAAAAAGAGAGCAACACTCACCAAAGCCATCCTCCGGTCTCTATTCATTATTAGACCTGGAATGGAAGCACAAAGACGGGGCCTCAGTGCTGCCTGTCAGGGTGAGGGACCCCACAGGGCTTCCCTGGGGACCCAGGGCCCTTCCGGCCAGGGTGCCCTTCTCCAGCCTGGACTGGTGTCCTCAGAGCTTGGCCGCTGCCACCCGGCCACGGACCGGCATGGCCCACGCGGACGCCTCCTCGGCCACCCCACAGAACAGCGCAGAAGGACAGTGGTGATGGTTACCCTATCTGGCACAGTGGCCATCATCTCTGAGAACCTTAGGATGGTCATGTGATCTTCAGACCCCAGGAAGCACCCAACAGCTAAGAAGAATCCATGCCATCATGTGTCGAAGAGAAAAGAAGGCTGGCGGGGCTGGGAGGCCCATGGTCCCACCCGTGGGCTGAACCATCGTTCTCTGCCACAGTCCTGATGGTGGACAAGCTGGACCTCACCTGGCGAGGACAGATTCCCAGCAATTCCATGCTTGGGCAATGTCCCCTTTAGAAACAGAATCACAGATCCGAGAGGCCACCTGAGAAGTGAGCTGCTGGGGTGGGGGGGTTGTTAGGGGACCCTCTCTACTTAGGAAACCGTGGATTGAAGCCACTGGGTAAATCCCACAAATGCGACACCAAAGAGAAGCAGGGCAGCCTCCTCCTTCCCACAAGTCTCTGCTCCACATGGCCTTACCAGCCAGGCTCTCAGGCCTCCCATTTTAAGTCACAACCAAATAAATAAGTCAGCAGAGTCACACCTATCTCACGGGGACCCCTCCCACCCCTCCTGGAGGGCTCTCCTTATCACTCAGCACTTCCTAAAGCATTCCACCCGCATGCACCTCTCCTCCACTAGAGTGCAGTTTCCCGGAGGACAACAGTGTCTGGTGTCTCAACCCTAGCTGGGCTCCCCAGGACCGAAAATGGGGCTGCCGCACAGTAGTTGCTCAAAAAACTGCTTGAATGGGTAAGTAGATGTTTGCCTCCGGGTGGCAGAAAGGGGGACACACAGGGTTCAAAGGAATGGGTGCTGTTCTAGTGTTCTAGCTGGTGTGGGGAGGGGTACAAGAGTAGGTCTGGTATCACTAGTATTACTAGTACTAGTTAAATGTACCTATGTGATATGCCAACAAAATTTTTAGCAAGAATAGCAGGAAAGCTCTGAAAAAGAGCCATAAAAGGAGACTGTCCTACAGATATGAAAACACAGTAAGCCGAGCCGTGTCGTGCTGGTCAGGGACAGACGGCCAGACCCACAGAAAGATCGAAGGTCCAAAGACAGACCCCGATGCTGATGGGCAGTCAGGGCATGGTGTGGCCGCCTCTTAGGTCACTGAGGGCAAAGACGCTCTTACAAAATGGTGTCAAGCAATGGAGGAGCCGTCTGGAAAAAGATCAAATCAGATCCAAACCTCCACCTGCACACAAGCTAAAAATATCCGAAGTAGCAAACACTTAAGTGAAAATTCTCAACCCCAAACAGTATTCGAATCAAACGTAAGCTTTTAGCTACGACTCAAAACGCAGAGGCTGGAAAAGAGACCTCTATTAATTACATGAAGAAAAGTCTGCATTGCAAGAAAAAAAACCGTCTAAGCAAAGTAAAAAAAGACAATCTGGGAAGACGTCTTTGCAACTCAATCTCCCCAACATATGAAGAGTTCCGAGAAATTGACAAAAGACCGCCAGAACGATGCACCGGAGGGTAAGCAGAGGTACAGTTTCCAGAAAACTAAATATGAGAGATATTCATCGTTACCATAAAAAGAAAATGCAAATGAAAACCACACTGAGGGGCGCCTGGGTGGCTCAGTCGGTTAAGCGGCTACCTTCGGCTCAGGTCATGATCCCAGGGTCCTGGGATCGAGCCCCGCATCGGGCTCCCTGCCCCTCGGGGTGCACGGCTGTGGGTGTAGCCTCACGTGTAACAGCAGAGACTGGAAACACCCAGTGTCTCTCTGTAGGGAACAGGTTAGATTAGCTTCCGCGGTTACGCAGGGAACATTCTGCATCTGTACAAAAAATGCCGCGTGATTTTCCAGGACCTACGGTAAATGCGAGCAGCGGGGAGCCGGGAGGCTGCGGAAGGGAGGCTCCAGGGTTTGTAGGACCGGGAAAGAAGAGCATACATTCCATGCGTTCGTATTCACCTAAGAAAACACTGGAAGGATGTGAACCCATGCTTAAGAAGGGGGTTACCCTGGGCATGAGCTGAGCAACAGGATGGCAAAGAGGTAAGACCCAGTGAACTCACACAGCTTTTTACAGGATTGTGTGTCTTAAACCATGTCAGGTGGCACCTGTTAAGGAAAGTAGTATTAAGGGGCGCCTGGGTGGCTCAGTCGTTAGGCGTCTGCCTTCGGCTCAGGTCGTGATCCCAGGGTCCTGGGATCAAGCCCTGCATCGGGCTCCCCGCTCGGCGGGAAGCCTGCTTCTCCCTCTCCCACTCCCCCTGCTTGTGTTCCGTCTCTCACTGTGTCTCTGTCAAATGAATAAATAAAATCTTAAAAAAAACAAAAAACAAAAAACAGTAGAGGGCGCCTGGGTCAGTTGGTTAAGCGACTGCCTTCGGTCATGATCTGGAGTCTGGGGATGGAGTCCCACATTGGGCTCCCTGCTCAGCAGGGAGTCTGCTTCTCCCTCTGACCCTCCCTCCTCTCATGCTTTATCTTATTCTCTCTCTCAAATAAATAAAATCTTTAAAAAAAACAAAATAAAAACAGTAGTATTAAATTCAAAAATAAAACCCAAATGGCAACTAGGTCAGCATCTCTACCCAGCCCCTTGTAAACGCCATCAGCTCCGGGGGAGGGGGCTAGATGGATAGGGTATTTGGGCCGGGCTGGTGTGGGGTGTCCACCAGGGGAGAGGCGTTAGGTCTCCCTGATGGAAAACTGATGTTTGAATACAAAATGGCTTTCAGAGAAACATTAAGGAGAGCTATTTGCACGGGGTGCCTGGGTGGCTCAGTCGTTAAGCATCTGCCTTCGGCTCAGGTCATGATCCCAGGGTCCTGGAATCGAGCCCCGCATCAGGCTCCCTGCTCCTTGGGAAGCCTGCTTCTCCCTCTGACCCTCCCCCTGCTTGTATTCCCTCTCTCGCTGTGTCTCTCTCTGTCAAATAGATAAATAAAATCTTTAAAAAAAAAAGTTATTTGCCAGAATTATTAGGTTTTCCCTTCTAATTAGAGATTATGGAACTTTTAGATGATAAATATAGATGGTTAATTGTTGATAGAGGTTCTCAGTCAGGCATTTATGATTCTAAATTCTTAGGACCACCATGTAACAGGAAGATTTTCTGGTTGCTGCACTAGTAGATCATCTCGGCCTAAGGAAACTATGGTTGAGGCCTCTGGGTCATCTTCAGCTCTGGCCATGACCTCCCTGCACAGGCCCCCACCCTGGGTTCTCTGCCCTCCTCCTTCCTCCAGCCCTGGGCTCCAGCTACTCAGATGATGTGAAAAAACTTTAAAAGGGGGTTATCGTAGGGGTAGGGTGACCCCCAGGTACCTGGGGATCCCTACTGAGCTGTTCTCTCCGCCCTGGGCTCTGGCTTCTCTCCCCTTCGGCCACATCCTCCTCTCTTCCAAGGCTCGCTTCCACCGTTCACATCCTGACCGGCCCGGCAGGCCCACAGCCTGGCTGCTTTTCTGTCAGCCTCCCCGTGACAGTGAGCTTTGTGAGGGCAGGAAATGTGCTTCTCAGACCAGCAGGCCAGCACAGATATCCCTTCGAGGAGTCCCGTGATCAGATCCAAGGGCAAGTGGCCTTCGCATTTCTGGAAGGGGTTTAGGTGCAGATCCCACACCAAGGGCCAGTAGTTTCTCCGAGGGGCTGTGCACTGACTTCTCTCAATTCCATCAACAACCTGTTTCACCCGGAAGGAATTGAGAGGGATGAGGCCAGGGTCAGCCCTGGAAGGAGGAGAGACTGGGCCCGGCTTGCCAGGAGTGGCATCTGCACCAGCTCGGCTGGGGCCCCTCGGGCTGGCCTGGCCTGCAACTTGTGAGCGCCACCTTCTCCAAGACTTTCAGAATCCCTGAAAAGTTGCATGAAACTTATGATTCTTAAGAAAATACCTTTGAATGCAGGAGATGGTATCAGAACCCTAGACACCCCCCATCTCCTGCCACAGCTGACAATTAGAGACTGATCTTGTGATATAAGAAATACGTATTTTATTTCAGACTGGCCAGAGCTCCTAAAGCCTGTGTAATCTCCTAAGTAATAAAGGTGCTAGGAGCATCTTTTGTTCTAATAGTTGGTCTTTGAGCCCAGGTGCTGACACAGAGCTCCTCAATCCCTTGGAATTTCCTAGGTGATTGATAGGAGCATCTTTTGTCCCAATGAGGTGACTCTTGGTGGGCCACCAGACAACTGCAGGATCGGGGGGGGTCCCCCAAAAACCGAGCTGTGGCTAGAAGCCTGGAACTTTCAGCTTTACCTCCTCATCCTCTGGGAAGGGGAGAGGGGCCGGAGGTTGAGTTATGATCTATTGTGTCCACATGGTGAAGCCACCCTGAAAAATCCCTGAACTAGGAGGTTTGGGGAGCTTCCCCGCCGATGAACACAGCGGTGCTGGGAGGGTGGGGCACCCAGGGAGGGCACGGGAGCTCCGCACCCCTCCCTCCCATACGTTGCCTTATGCATCTCTTCCATCTGGCTGTCCCTCAGTTGTATCCTTTCTAACAAACTGGTAATCTAGGAAGGAAACTGTTTTCCTGAGTTCTAGAAGGCATTCTAGCAAGTTATTGAGCCTGAGGAGTGGTCTGAAGGAACCCCGGATTTATAGCCACTGGGTCGAAAACACAGGTGACAATTTCATCTTCGGTGGGGCGTCTGAAGTGGGGACAGCTTCGTGGGACTGGGCCCTAAGCCTGTGGGTAGATGGTGTCAGAACAGAGTCAGGCGAACCGCGGGGGACGCCCAGCTGCTGGGGGAGGACCGGCCACTGTGGGAAACGGCCGCCACTCAGTGTATGCTCGGCCGGAGAGCAGAGCAACACCTTCCCCCTTATAGACACCAAGGCGTTTTCCATGCCCAGGGGCCCTGCTTTCGTTCCCATCTCACCTCCAAACCCAACTCCTGACTCCAGCCCCACCTGGCCTCCCGTCCCCCTTCCAGATGGTTCCAGGACTGTACTCTGCCAGGCCTCACTCGGGGGCCAGCCACCTTCACGACCTTCGCCTTCACCACCTGTTGCACACTCGATGTCTGAGTGAGTGGTTCTGCTGTGCGTCGGGCAGATGAACTTGGGTTCGGTTATAGGATCAGGTTGGACTGATGGCGCCGCCCCTGCTCTCTGCTGCTCCAGAGTGGAATGGGGACTGTCAGGGGCTCTGGGGCCTGAGGACAAGCACCCACGAGCAGCCTGGAACACCGACTCTCCCAGTGTCACACCAGCCGGTGGGGGCTGGGAACCTGCTTGGTCTTGTTCTAGGTTAAGCTCCAGCCCCAAAGGGCCACGACTGCTGCATGGGGGCAGGGCCTGACATAGTGACCCAGCTGCCTGTCCACTCCCCTCCCTTCTCTCCTCACCCCTCCCTGACAACTGGTTCAGTGTCTATGCTCACCCCTTCACGTGACCCAGGCCTGGCCTAATCGGCTTCCCCCGCCTGGCTGGGAACATGTCTTATTCCAGATTAGCCTACTTCTGCGCCAGGACCCCTCTGGGCGGCCCATCTGTGTGGGCACATTGGGAAGCCCAGGCCCGTGGCCCTCCGCCTCGACCTCCCCGCTCCGTGGTGGATTTGCCAAGGTTCAGAGATGATAACAGACAGTCCCTCACAACAAGTCACAGATTGACTTGAGGCCTGAGGCCAAAACGTCCCTTAAGCATATTCCATCCGACCTCGTGGTGTGTTGGCAACTTCTGGAAAAAACAATACCACACAGTAGATCTTTGGCTTCTTGTGAGCAACTGGAAATTCGGGCCATACGAGGCCCAGAGTTCCCAGCGATGACCACTGGCTGGGCTGTCCTCTCCCCGTACCGCAGTCCCTACGGCTCCCTGCCGCCTGACTCCCAGCAGCCCAATTAATTCCACCACTTGCTCAAATCTGGCAAGTCCTTGGGGTTTTGACCCCTGCCTCCTTTGGTACTTTATAAACTGAAGTCGCATTCACCTCCTTGCTTGATCCTCTCAGAACGTGAGCACAAAGATCCTAAGATGTTATTTATGACCTGAGAGAAACAGGGGGGAGGTGTCTAAATGGGGAGGAGGGACTTGAGATCTCTGAGCTAGCACAGTCAGGAATAAGCCCGGGGCTTTGGGCCCAATGTAGTGCCTGGTCCATCTTACCACACTTGTCTCCCTTGGGCTTCTACTCCACCTCCTGGGAGCCGCCTCCAGGAGCCCCTCTCTGGGGTTTCTTCCAGAATACCCTGTACATTTCTTTTATTGCACTTAGAATAACATGTTTCTTGTTTGTCTGGTCACAGGTCTATCATTTGTTTCTCCTCCTAGAATGGACATGCCTGAACTGGGGGGCAGTCAGTTCCAGGGAGGGCACTTGTGAAGGGCACCCTCTGGAGCGGTGCCAGCCCGAGGTACGGGCCCGCCAGGAGAGGGGCTGGCACTGAGCGGGACCTTGGTAAAGTTTCCCTGAATGGGTATATCGGGAAACAAAGTACAGAAAACACAGGCCCGAGGCTGCCCTGAAACCAACGGGCCACCTACTCTACTTCTCCATTTTGGCTTTTTTTTTTTTTAAAGATTTTATTTATTTATTTGACAGAGAGAGAGAGCAGAAGCAGGGGGAGCAGCAGAGGGAGAGGGAGGAGCAGACTCCCTGCTGCGTGGCTCGATCCCAGAACCCCGGGATCATGACCTGAGCCGAAGGCAGCCGCCCAACCGACTGAGCCACCGGGGTGCCCCTCTACTTCTCCATTTTGAAAAACCCCTTTCAAATCACCCTGCCCCGCAGCACGTCCTCAAACCCTAGCTGGGGGCACCAGCGCCCACCACACAGGATCAGCAGAGCACGGCTGTGACATTCCCCAACATTCAGCCCCAAGACACCTGACTGCTCCCCACAGGCCTGTCTGGGATACGCAGCAGCTGTCTGACCTGGCACGTGTCACTTGGCCTCTCGGAGCCTCAGTTTCTCCTGCTCTGCACGGGGTGAGTATAGGGCAGCCGGGGGCAGGGTAAGGCGGCGGGATGACATGAGACACTGTTTGCTGAGCACTCGGTGCCCTGCCTGGTCTAGAGCAAGCAGCTGTGAGACTTAGCGGTTACCACTCCTCAACAAGAACAGTGCCGATCAGCAACAGCCTGAGACGGCGAGTCCCTACCTGTGGCCACCTCAGTGGTTCCCCTCTGAAGGAGGAGTCGCGCGCACTCCTCACTCACATGACTGTTGTTCTTCAGGAACCTGGGGAGGACAGACGGACGCTGGATGTCTTGGGGCAGGGAAGGCCACATGGAAAGAAACGGAGGGCCCCCCCACAAAGGACACAAGCAGGTGTTAATGGGATGTTCACATCAGCAGTGTGTGTGTGCGTGTGTGTGTGTGTGTGTTATTTTCACTCCCTTAGATAACAAATACGTATAGGTCCCTGACTACCAGGGGCACTTCCAGGTGCTGGAGATATAAAGGCAACCAGCCTACGGTCACCACCCACAGACCTTCGATTTCCTATAGGGCTGGGAGGAACTGCTCACGGAGGGGAGGCAGGGCAGGCTCCCAGGGGGAGTGAGTCAGCTGAGGCCAGAAGGAGGAGTGGGCAAGTTAGCAAGGTGCCTGCAGAGAGGTCTAGGTGGAAGGAGCCACAGAGAGGAGTGGAAGGAGAGACTGTGTGTGTGTGCACGCATGTGCATGTGTGCCCAATTATAGGGAGGGGTAGAGAGTGCTTGGAAAGCGCTCTCGGGAAATGAAGGGCATGGCTATGGAGCAGGGAGGACCTGAGGCAGGTAAGTCCCAGCTGGGGTGTCTGGAGAGCCAGGAAGCCTGAGACCTAGGGTGAGCACAGAGAGAAACAGGCTCGGTGTGACTTGTGCTTGTGCGTAGGAGACTGACGCTTCCTCTGCGCCCCGGAGACGTCCCATCCCTCCTCCGGGCCTCCCCACCAGCCCCATCTCACCCGACTGCACTCACCTCTGCAGCATCTCCTCTGGGCTGACCACCTGCCGGGGTTTCTGGGAGGCCTCTGTCTGCAGCATGTGCTCTATGGCTCCCCGCTTGTAGGTCAGCACGTCCTCTACTCCCTGGGGATGTGTGGGTTCTGCTGGGTGGGCGGGACTCCGGGCTGCAGACAGAGGGGCTCAGCTCCCCCCCACCCGGGCCTCAGCAGCCCCTCAGCTGGGATTCACTCTGACCCGGTGAAGGGTGGCACAGGATCAGCCCCCGCTGGTTAGCTCTGTGATCAGAGCACACTTTGTTTGCCTCAGTGAGAGCCCAGCCCGCCCCGCCTGTGGTCCGGCCAGCTGGAGGGGTCAGGATGGATGATGGAGGGGAAAGGAAATCTGCCAACGGCCAGTGTGTTGCAAAGGTTCAATATTAGGTCCATAAGTCACGGACCATCCAGGGTTGGCAATTTCAGCTGATTTATTGAATGCTATCTCTCCAGATGGTGGAGAGGAGACTGCAGAGGGGGTGCAGCTCAGGGGCTTCTGGCCCCGCTTCGAGTGTACCTATTTCTGGCCCAGCTCACTCTGACAACAGCCCAGCCCCGTCCACAGGCCCCCACCTGGAAAGGGACACTCCCATCCAACAACGGGGGACAGGGAGGACCAAATACTCAGCCGCTCTAGAGGGAGATCCTGGGGCACTGCGTCAGGTAACTCAGTGGGTGAAACAGGTAAAGAAGGGAGAGAAGCCCAGAGTCTCACCGGATCCTCACATTCACCCATGAGCTCGCCATTCATGAAGCCACCACTTCCTGAGCACTTACTATGTGCTGGGATTGGGCATGTGGTGAGAAAAAGACAGCATGGTTCATGCCCTTTTGGCATTTGTGGCCATTTTACAGATAAGAAACTCAGCTGTGTCACAACTGAGGGGCTGAGCTCCTGGGGACAGAGTGACAGAATGTGACAGCGGGCAGGCAACTCCAAGGTCACCTAGGCCAACCTCCTCATTTTACAGGTGAGGCCCAGATAGGCCAAGGGTCTTGCCCAGGGTCACCCAGCAGATCCGTGGCAGAAGCCAAGACTCAGATGCAGGGATAGCACCGTTTGTCATCACCAGTGGTGGTGGCGGAAGGGATCGGCATGTCCCCATTGGTCTGCACTCAGGGCTGCTGTGTGCTGTCGTGCAACGTGTGCAAAAACTGAACATGACTGTGGGGGGGGGGCCTCATCACGCTGTGTGCCCCCAGAGCTTCCTCGATCCACTGTTCCTACCCTCTCCCACCCCCTACCACTTCGCAAAAGACTTGGCATTCTGTAGATCCCAGACCACATACAGGGTTTCCAAGGATGACAAAGGCTTCTGCACCTGTTTTCTCTGCCCACTCCTAAGGGTACAGGTTGCATAACCCTGTCCTCTCTGGGGGTCCCCTGATCCCCCCTTGTCTACCCTCTGCCACCTCCTCCCACCTCCCTGCCAAAAGAGGCAGGGCTGAGGACACTCCCCAGGGCCTGGGTCTCCCCCATGACAGCATGCATGAAAGCCCTCATTCTTACTTTAGCGTCCAGGGCAAATGGCAATGTGTCCAGCAAGATAAGTTTATCCACCATCTCGGGGTAGATACTGGAAAACTAAGATGTGACCCAAAAAGGGAAGCATGAGTAGGACAGGAAGAAGAAAAAGGGACTCAAGCTTTTCCCTGGGGACACTGGTGTTTCCAAGGGGCCAGAACAAGGATCTTCATTCCCTCCAGGGTAGCCTCCCCCCCGCCCCAGCCCCGGGAGGTCCACACCCAGACTAAAGTTTACACCCTGGTGGCTGGCTGGATTCCAGGGTTCTCTGGGGATGGGGAATGTGGAACTCTGAACTCCATCAGGAATCTCCAGTTTCACCAACCTCCCCGCAATAATGATTCTTACTGCCATCTATAAAGCAGACTGAAACTAGGCCATCAAATACTGGGTTCAAATTTGTGATATGAGGAGGCACTCCCTTTCCTGGAAACTTCTTCTCCCCCTGCCCCCTCACCACCTCCTGCCCCACCTACAGGAATGCCCAACACGGCCAGAGGTGATCACTGCAAAGCATCCACTCACCATTCCGCCCACCATACCACCTGCGGGACGAAAAGAGTCGTGGGCTGGTATTCCCCAGCTCTCAAAATCCTACTAAAACTTCACCCTGGGGGCTGCCCCACCCCAGGCTAAGGGGCCTGGCTCTCTCCCACCAGGAGGCAGGGCTCTTTATGCCCTGTCAAACTTGGGGTTCCCTCCCTGGGGGCCATATGACCGCTTCATCAGACCTAGCCACTCGAAAGGTCACACTTCTCTTGTCAAATTGGAAGACAGCCACTTCTGGGGCCCTATGTCCCTTGGGGGAGGTGCCTCAAGCCAAAGGGCCCAGTGCCCACAGACCCCCTCATCTCTCTTTGCATTGCCCAGAAGTGCAGGGTACCTGTGTACCACTTCCTCTCCCTCCCTCACAGCCCCTCAGCCCAGTCAGCCCCCTGCCTGCCAAAGTGTAAACTGTACTCACCAAAACTATGGCCAATGATGGAGAAACGCTTCCACTTCAAGCCTGAAAACACACGGAGCCAGGTCTGGATGGGCCCAGGCTCCCCTCACCCTCTGTCCTGCAGTCCCCATGCTCAGGACATCCTTCCCCAGCCTCTGGGGTGCCCCACTCAGGAAACTAGCTTAGAGGGGTTCCAGCTTCCTTACAAGGGGTGGAACCCCCAGAAGGATGGGCTCTTCTTGCCAACTTTCCCAAAGTCACCCATGAATTCCTGGGTGACCCAGGTCATTCCCAGGCCAGTATTGTTTCCTGGCTACCACACCCCACTCCAACGTTGAGAGGGGATGTCCCACTGCACCCCTCCACACACACACACACACTGCCTCTTACCTGCTACAACTCTCCGGATGTCACTCACAAAGTTTTCCTGGTAATACGGGAGACCGGGGCTGTAATGGGACGAGAGCCCATGTCCCCCGAAATCCACGGCAACATAATGAAAGTCTGAGACAAGAGACAGGGGGAGAAGGCGTCTAGGACAGCTGTCTCCCCCACCCCTCATTCTCCTGCAGTCTATGTCACGTTGCCCCTTGGCTTCCCTTCAGCCCCACCTTTCGGAAGAAGAGGGATGAGTCTGTCAAAGGAGTTGGCATTGTCCAGCCAGCCATGCAGGCAAAGAACCGGGCGGGCCTGCTGGGAGCCCCAGGCTTTGGCAGCGATGTGGCCCCAGGGCACAGCCAGCTTCAGCTCTGAGAGCAGACCTGGAAGACAGCCACCCATTCAGTCATGAAGCAGGCACTTTCTGAGCCCCTCATCTGTGCCCCAATGTGTTCAGGGCAACAGCGAAGCCCAGGGGGCTCAGATTCCCGCACTGCCCCCAGGTGATTACAGGGAGAGAGCCTGAGGTGGGTTTGGGGATACCCAGAGGAAGGAAAGATAGACTGGGTCCGCTGAGTGAAGAAAACCTGGGGAGGGTTTCATGGCAGAACTTTGTGGAACTGGCTAGACCTGGGCTCCGCCACATGCCAACTGTGTGACCTTGGAACACTTACTGAAACCTCCTGAGCCCCAGTTTCCTTTTCTGTAAAACGGGGAGAAAACAGTAATAGCAATAACCAACATACTCTAAACTCTCCGAGGGGCAGAAGGGGTGGTCCCTCTCTGGGGCCTGGCTCTCTCTCATTACCACTCTCCCTCCGCAGACCAGTAAACCGAGGCATGGGGAGGCGCAGTCTGTGCCCAAAGGTCCCCAGGGAGAATGAAGTGGAGCGAGGATTTGACGCAGGCGGCACAACCCCAGGACCCCGGTCCTGACCGCCCAGCACCACGCTCTCTGTCTCTGGCCTACTCTGGCCAGTGCTGCCTTCTCCCCGGTTCAGCACTACCTGTTCGCCCTTCTGGCCCACCCGGCCCGGCCGGAGACCTGTGCGCCCCCAGACCCCCGCGCCTGCTCCTCTAACTTGGAACTCCCGGAACCCTGAGAAGCCACGTGCAGCCCTCTCCTGGGCCCCCCCCCGCTTCCGCGGGTCGCCGTGACCCGCCCCCACTTCCGCTCCGGGTCTGGGGCAAGGAGGGGGGTGGGCAGCCGGAAGGGCGCGCATGGCGTCCCCCATCCCACTGCGGTCTAAGGGTCCTGCGGCGCAGCGTCTTCACCCATTGCAGCCGTCCTGCTGTCGCGCGGCGGTCATCACCGCTGTAAGGTCGCGGCCGTAAAATAAATGCCGGAGCCTCAGGTCCCGCCCCCGCCGGCCGGCCACTCCGGCCCGGCCCCGCCCCTCTGCCCCGGCCCCGCCCCGCCCCTCTGCCCCGGCCCCGCCCCGCCCCGCCCCGGCACCGCCCGTCCGCCTGTCCCCACTCCGGCCCGCCTGAGACTTCTTGACCAAGGGCGTGTGGCCTGGCTCTCAGCTGTGTCCGGGAGGGGCCCTGAGCTCCCAGAGACACCCACCCGGCGGCTGGGGAGCACTGGGCCGTGGCCAGACCACCTCCAAAATTTTGGACCACACCTGGGATGGTATCCAGGGGAGTGAAGTCTCTGCTTGACACGTGGGGGACGGGACCCAGGCCCTGGGCAGTCCCCGTGGCAGGCCTCGTTCCCATGTTGGACCAGGAGCTGGCCAAGGCCCAGGGAGCCCCCACAGCCAGCGCGCCACCACTTGGGTCCTCACTGGCTCGCACCATTGGACTAAAGGTGGGGTGACTCTTTAGTGGTTAAATGTTTGCCTGGAAGGCCCGGCTGTATCCACCATGTTCTGGCTGCGTCCTGGATCATCAGTAGTGCCTGCCACGAACCAGCCTTAATACTTGTTGCACAAGTGAATGAATGTGTAAATTGGGGACATGGGGAACCCCCAGGTGAGGAAGGATTATGGACAATAACATTGAGCCTGGAAAGGATCAAGAACCCCGAGGTACAAAGGGAATGTTTGGGGTACTAAATCCTATAATAAAGGCACTAAACCGCATCCTCCGAGTAAGTGGCAAGTCTAGGACAAATAAGGCAAAGTGCTTCCTGTTTATTCACCACCATTTGCTAATTAGAAGGCCTAGGAGTGACCCCTCAGAGGTCACAGTCCAGCAAAGCCCCTAAATGGTGAAGCAGAATCCAGCAGGTGGGGGACTGGAGAGAGAGCTGCCCCGTGAATTCTCCCTCGGGGGTGACAGGAGACCCAGGCCCTGAAGGGGGGGCAGGCAGGGGTGTGCCACAACGCAGGGAACATTGTTGGTGGCTGGAAACTGTGGGGAAGGGGGAGCATGGGGGCTGAGTGTGGGAATAAGGAATGGGGACCTTATCTGAGTTGTGGGGGTCTGGGGGGGCTTTGAGCTAGGGGTGATGAGACCATTTCTATGATGGTACATGTACAGTGATGTCCTTTAGTTCCAGAAATGCTTTGGCTTCCTTGACAAGTTAGACAGGGGGTGACAGATTGTGGGGTGACAGAAGCAATGGGACATGACCCCTTCCAAGGAGCTCTTTCCTCCTCTGCTTTGGGGACCCACTTCCACCTCTTCTTCATGGACGATGCAGCATTTAGACCTGGCACCAAGCTCCAGTCAGACCTCTAGGTGGGGGCCTCTAGCGCATCAGACCTCAGCTTCCCTCAGCCCAATCGGCCGGCGTCTACACCCTCCTCCCCGTCCCTCAGGCTCACCTAGGTCACCCCCACCTCCTTTCTCATTCCACCGAGGCCTTTCCCTGCCGTTCCAGGGACTTCCGTTCCATTCCATTGACCCCCTGGGCTGGACATTCATCACCCCAGGAAGACAAGAGAAATCCCTTGCCCTGCCCCACCTCCCCTCCTACTGCCACCCACTCTCCCTACAGCCCGGTTGCAGCTCTGATCTTCCCTGCGGCAATCACACAGAGAGGTCACTACTCCACACACAGGCACAGCTGGTCACAGAGGCCCTGACAAAGTGTGACCTGCATTGGCCCCGCTTCAGGACAGTCCCCCTCGCACCCCCAGACTGGACTGGGCTCTGAGCAAACACCCTGCACAGTGGGCAAGTGAGCGGGAGTGCACTCCTGAGACTTCAAGACTGAGCAGACCGTCTTTGGTTTGGGCACAGATCTGGGGCATGCTGCAGGTGAGTTAGGGGACGGGGTGCAGCCAGAGCTAACTGAAGCAGTGACCAGGGATGGCCCAGCCTGCAATGACGGAGGGGCTGGTGAGCTGGGCCACGGTGGCCTAACTACTCTTTGCCAGATCACCGTGTCCCCTCCCCTCTCCTTCATGCCCCAGGACAGGGCCTGATCTGTTCCCTTAGAGCCTGAAGGTGACTGATAACGGAGAGGGAGATGACTATTTCTTTTAAACAAACGAAAGTCAAACCAACAACAACAAAAAGCAAATAGCCAAGCCCTTCCTGCGAATATCCACAGCTTCTCCTTTCAGTGGGTTTTCATTTAATTTCACTTAGACCTTAGAAGTCACAAAACAGAGTTCACCCCAACCAACAGATCTTGACCCAGTGGAGCCAACTCTTCTCCTAAGCGCACCCTTCTGGAGTGATATTCGAAGTGGTGCAACCACCGGGGCCCCTGGGTGACTCCGTCAGTCAAGTGTCTGCCTTCGGCTCAGGTCATGATCCCAGGGTCCCGGGATGGAGTCCCGCTTCACGCTCCCTGCTCAGCAGGAGTCTGCTTCTCCTTCTCTCTCTCTCGCTTCTCTCTCTCTCTCTCAAATAAATAAATAAAATCTTAAAAAAAAAAAAAAACCCAAAAAACAAAAAAAAACAGAATGTGCAACCACCTGCCAGGCTTGGATGCGTCATAGTCCCTGGTTGCCAGGAAGGTCCGCAGGGAGTCCGGGGGAGGAGCAAATGCAGAGTGCCTGCCGGTTCTCCAGCAAGAAGCAGACCTACTCCTGCTCCCCCCGGGGGTGACGGCGCCAGGGGTGCCCTGGGCTGCATCTCTTGGCCTCTGCAGGAGCTGGTGCAGGTGCAAGAGCCACGGGTTGGAACACGAGCAGTTGGGGTCCATTTCGAGCCGAGGGCGTCACGGGGAGACCTTGGAGCTGCTGGAGGTGTGGTCACTAAAGCTACTTTAGATATCTTCACTCATTGCAACATTTGGGTTCTTTGGGGGTCCGTTTCCATTGATTTTTTTCCCTCTCAGTCCTATTTTCTTGTTTCCTTTGTATGCGGAGTAATTTGGATTGTGTTCTGGTTATTGTAAATGATCTATTATATGGAGTTTGGATTCTGTTTATGTTCCAGAGAGTAGTGATTTGTCTGTTTTGGCAGACAGGTAACTTGGCTGAACTCTTGCAGAGTTTGTCTTCTTTGCAGTGAAAAGCAGCTCAAATTTCATTTTGGCCTCTTTGAGCCTTCGCTCGGCTGCTTGGAGTCTGCCCCATGCCTATGTAGTTCAGTGGTCAGAGATTTGGACAAAATATTTACACAGATCTGGGGGCTCCTCCTGTCTGGATCTCTCTTTTGGAATTCTCCTCCTTGATTCCCAGCTGCTATAGTTGACACAATCTCTTTTTCTTTTTCTTTTCTTTTTTTTTTCGATGTGTGTGTGTTCGGGGGGTGAGGGGCAGAGGGAGAGGAAGAGAGAATCTTTTTTTTTTAAGATTTTATTTATTTAGGGGCGCCTGGGTGGCTCAGTCAGTTAAGCGTCTGCCTTCGGCTCAGGTCATGATCCCGGGGTCTCAGGGATCAAGCCCCGCATCGGGCTCCCTGCTGAGTGGGGAGTCTGCTTCTCCCTGTGCCACTCACCCTGCTCTCATGCTCTCTCTCAAATAAATAAATAAAAAATCTTTAAAAAATAAAATAAAACATCTTAGATATTTTCTATACTCTTCTATATACGACATAGAATAAAAAGACAATGTTCAGTGCTCTTAGGCTCAGTGGGGAGCCTGTTTCTCTCTCTCCCTCTGCCGCTCCCCCTGCTTGGGCTCTCTCGCGAGCTCACTCTGTGTCAAATAAATAAATAATATTTAAAAAAAAAGTAGGAGAGGAAAGATAAGGGTCAGGAAAAAATTGAAGTGAGGCCACATCCCTCTCAAACTCAAACTCTGTTGATTTGATCCCAATTTAAACTGATTAGGGCGTATTTCAAGATTGGAATGGAGGAGTAAGAGGAAGGCACCTTTGTTTAATTTGTGTGCTCGTGCTGTAATTGTGTCTAATCATGGATCTGGTCACTGTCTGGAGTGAGTGTGAAGGCTCAGGGGAAGTTACAGGGCTCAGCCTGGCCCCTGATGTGGAGAGGACCACACTCCGTGAAGGAAAGTCTTGTCCAAACCTGACTCCCCATCAGTAAGACAACTGAACACTTCCAGTTCTTCTGCATGATCCTCCCAGGAGATCCTGAGACCCACTGTGGCACCCACCCTCATCCCAGCAGACGCCCTGGCCTGGGATGGCCTCCTATTTGGAATGTCTCCTCCTCCTTATTTTGCTTTTAAAAATCATCTGAGAGGTGGGTATGGGTGGAGATGAAATTTGGCAATGGGTTGTATTAGTTTGTCTGGAACAAAGTACCACGAATGGGGACCAAAACAACAGAAATTTCTTGCCGGTCAGTTCTAGATGGTGGAGGTCCAAGATCAGGATGTGGGCAGGGTTGGTTCTTTCTGAAGTCTGTGGGGGAGAATCTGTCCACGCCTCTAGCCCAGCTTCTGATGCCTTGCTGGTGATCTTTGGCATTCATTGAGTTGTAGATGGATCACTCCAATCTCTGCCTTCACCTTCACATGGTGTTTCCTTTTTTTTTTTTTTTTAAGATTTTATTTCTTTATTTGACAGAGAGAGACACAGCGAGAGAGGGAACACAAGCAGGGGGAGTGGGAGAAGGAGAAGCAGGCTTCCCACGGAGCAGGGAGCCCGATGCGGGGCTCGATCCCAGGACCCTGGGATCATGACCTGAGCCCAAGGCAGACGCTTAACGACTGAGCCACCCAGGCGCCCCTCACATGGTGTTTCCTGGGTGTTCACATTGTTTGTTCTTGGTGTGTGTGTCTGTCCAAATAACCCCTTTTATAAGGACACCTGTTGTATTGGATTAATGACCTCATTTTAAGTTCATTACCTTTACAAAGACCCTCTTTCCAAATAAGGTCATGTCCACAGGTACTTAGGGCTAGGACTCCACCATATCTTTTTTTGGGGGGATACATTTCAACCCATAATGTGGGTATATGGGGACTTGCTATTTTTTTTAAGATTATTAATTTAGGGGCGCCTGGGTGGCTCAGTTGGT